GTGTGTGTGTGTGTGTGTACACTTAAATTTAGCAAGTGGCTTGAAGAAGAGGCCAGTTTCTCTGGTATTCACATTTCCTGATGCTGTGGTTATCTTATCTTGGTCTACTTTGCTTTCTTCCCTTTGTGCTCGACAGCTCCAGGTATTTGAAAAGTCAGGCCTCACTGGAAGCAACCACAGGGATCTCTGGCCCAACCAGAGGAAGCTGCTGAATTGCCCAGGGCCCTGGCTTCTGCCCTTCTTCCTTATCCATGCTCACCCCAGGCTGTATTTCTCTAGAGAGAAATGTTTGGCTTCTTGTAAAAGGTCTTCCAAAAACCAACCCACTAGTCCCCAAACCAGAAATCAACCAACAATAATTAGCTTATATTATTATATATAAAATTACCAGTTCAACTTATATTTGTCCTATAATGATATCAATCCTGTACAATCCAGCCCAGGAATATGATCCTGGTTTAGTCATTAGTAAAACAATGAGTGCCAGCTTTGGTTACAGGGCAGAATAAACTTAGAATTTGAAAAGAAAATCCTTCTAGGATCTGACCCATGATCATTAAAATCCAATCTCTGAGTATGGGAGCAGGTGTAAAGATACTTTGCCTGTGTAGCCTGCTGGAGAATAGCAGCTCTAGAATATTCCAGAGGGTCCATAAGAGAGTCTGGACCATGTTTCTGTTCATGATAGATGCTTCCTGGTTTTGAAAGAGTATAAAGAACCCAGATTGTCCATGTAACTGCAATTACTTCATGCAGTAAATTATGTTCATAAAAACTATAGTGTTTAGGTGGGGCTTGGTGGCACACACCTTTACTCCCAGCAGGCAGAGGCAGGTGGATCTCTGAGTTTGAAGCCAGTCTGGCCTACATAGTGAGTTCTAGATCAGCCAGGGCTACAGTGTGAGACTCTGTTTCAAAAACAGAAACAAAAACAAAGAACTTCTTTGCTTCCTCCACATAGACACAGCAGATACTAAGTGAACTACTTAGGGGATGTGCGGTCTCAGCCATATTACAGAGTCACTGCCTTCGAGAACTGGTTGTAGAATTATTTCTGCTCTAACTGCAGATAGAGCCATATGCAGCACTAGAGAGAGCCCAGCAAACCAGAATGTGTTCAAAGATGTGGCCTTTGGCATTGTTGCAGTGCACTCCCCAACACCGTGTGCAACTGGTTATTAAACTGTTGTTGCTGCACAGGGCAGTTAAGGGAATCACAGCGGTGACAGCTACAGTCCTCTGTGTTCTCATTAACTGAAGACTTTCACTCACTTATTATTGTTTTTCTTTTTTTTTTCTTTAATGTGCATATTTTAAAAAATAGAGCTGGATAGATTTTACAGTGAGAGAAAATGGTTCATACTATCTTGGGAAGGATGATAATATTTTAAAATCCAGGTATAATAATGTTGACTCAACTCTGTAAATATACTAAAAGGCAGTGAATTGTATGTTTAAAACTTGTATCTCACTAATGCAGCTGTTTTAAAAAGTATTCCAAGGATAGGAAAAAAAATAACTGGAAGATTTCTGGCCCTTTTGGAACACATGGCCTGACTGTCATAGCCAGGACGCTGCCTTTGCGTGTGTAGGTAGAGCATGACACTGCCCTGGGATATGATGACTTGCTCAGAGGTGCCCTGGGAAGGGTTAGGCGGGCAGTCAGTCTGCTGCCATCCAAAAGGAGCAGGCTGAGAGCAATTCTACAGAGGTGGTAGTAAAATGAAAGAAAGGCAAAAGCTGCTATCCAGGCAGAACGTCCTGCAGAAAACAAGACTTCCCAGAGGCAGCTGAGATGGAGTTCTTGTTCCTGGCAGGGAAGGGCAGAATGTGTGTGTGCTTTGCCACTCCCTAACCTTCCTTGCCACTCTCTCCCCAGGCCCCTAGACCCAGTTTTCTGAAGGCATTCCTCAACTTGCTTGATGTAGAATCTGTTTATCGTTTCAGGGGATCCATCATGGTGGGTGTATTAAGTAGGTTCAAAGAAACAGGGTGTGTTGCCTTTATGTGTGCAGGCATTAGAAGAAAATGCTTTCCTAATACCTTGCATTTGCTGGAGGCCTTGACAAATTGACCAATGACTGAGGCTTGTAAGTTCTGAAGCAGTTTTTAGAAAATGGTTACAATGATACAGGGAGCAAGCAAGTGCTAGGTAGGCACCTGGTCTTGCGGGATCTGCTGTCCTCAGGCTTTTCTATCCAGGGCATGTCTATACATCCACGTACAGTGCTGATGCTACAGAAGACACAGGAATCAACACAATGCTGTTTCTGGCATCCTTTGTACCTATGGGAATAGTGATGGAGAAATTCCACAAACCTTCAATAAACTATGCCACCAGAGAGGTGCAACCAAGGCTCCTAAAGGGTTCAGGAAAGGCAACACACCGGAAAGCTCATGAAAGGCCAAATGACATGGAGAGATGTTTAGCACTCCAGAGACTGGAGTTAGGGAGGAGGGAGTCTCGTTGGCTGGAAAAGCCATGCTGGTGAGCCCTGTGGAGAGGATTATAAGGAATGTGCTAGAGAAGTATGCTGGAACTGTGTATGCCAAGCAGGAAGGTTCCTGGTTCACAGACTAGCCTCTGGTAGCATTCTACTACTATTTCTCTGCTGAGGGTGGTCCACTGCTCTCTGTGGGAAAGAGACAACCCATTTCCTGCTCTGGTTTCAACTCAGTGAGCTGCAACATGTGCACCTGGAGAAGGTGCTCCATTACATAAAGTCACACAGTTTGTGGCTTTAAGAAGCTTGCAGTCTTGGGGCAGGGGAGAGAAAGGCCAAAAACAGATTAGCTAGATACTTAAAACCATATCACACTGCACAACCAGGGAAAGGAATACAACTCTACAAGTTCTCTGAGTTCTGGAAGGGACTCCACTGAGTCTGAAGGCTTCTTAGAGATAGGGTCGGGGCCCTCTTTATCTCTGCATGATTGAAGTTTAGTCTGATGCCTGGCACTCATATGTTCAGTAGATAAATTAATTGTACAAATGAACGAATGAATGAACATGTCTACCCTGTGCTATCTGCCCAGGATATCACTTATAACTTCTCATAATGCTGCACAGCTTTGGTTCCTATTGTTATTCTCTGCTCCCACCCATATTTTGCTCACCTCAATCCTTCCTCCCTGACAACTCCAGCCCACACTCCTCCCAGACTCTGATTCACAGTCTGCACTGCATAATTTAGGTGGCCCGTCTTCCTTGCAGCTGCTTCCTGTGCTCTAGTCACTTGTATTCAGATGATCACATCCCTCACAACACTGAGAATATATTGCCTGTGGGTGCTATTACAGACCTGAGGATGTCAGGCACAGCGCTTGGTGCTGTGTGACCAGGCACAGAGAGCCTGAGACATGTAGCCTGGTGATGGGAAAACCAAGAGACAGACCAATTGTTCTGTGTGAAAGCATTGACACAGAGATTCTGAACCCTCTAAGAAAGGGATTTTTACAGCCGTACTTGATGGACCACCTGAAATTAAGTACCTGACTGGATTGTCTCCATGAGCCAACAACCTTCCTTCAGAGATACATTGTCTCCAGGAAGCGAAGCTTTCGGTGAGCCAGCCTTCCCCCAGTAGTGAGGGGCTGAGTCCCTCCCATCCTTGGTGTCATTAGGATGACAGAGAAGAAGGGACACTTTTGGGTGCTGGGTTTGAGGGAACTGTTTACTTCCTCTTTTGCTTCATGATCTGCATGTCTGGGAAGGAGAGCTGGCTGCAAGCAGACCCACGTTCCTGTTGGAAAATAAGGCAGATTCTCATTACCATCACAAGAACTGTGCATTACACAGTCAGATAGTAACCTCAAACCTTTGCAACCTCCAGTGAATGCTGACATAGTGCCTTCTGTACACCTTCCAGTGATTAAAGCCTCACTAGGTTGTCTAGGGTTGGGTGTCAAGTCCAATAGTTTCTCTGGATCTCCTGATCTTGAAAGTGTGCAACACGCACACGAATAACAACTAATTTCACACAATAATGTATTTTCTGCACACATTTCCTATTTAAACCTCACAGCAGTATTGTGAAATAGGTACTATGATTAACTGTCATTTTTCAAGGAACCTTAGAGATGTTAAACGGCATTCCTACTATGACATACACGCAGAAAAAAAAAAAAGTCCTATCCTCTCGTTCCTTCTTGAAAGAAATGCCTGCTTAGTTTCCCATCCTCCCCATACAAATCACACCCCATGCAGAACGCAGAACATAATATTTTAGAGTCAGGCAGACTATGTGTAAGCTGAGTATATGGTGGCTAAATATGTGCATTACACAGTAGATGCTGTGTGTGGAGTGAGTGGAAAGGACACACGCTAAGAGCGGGGAGGAGCATCTCATTCATTCATCAGGAGTTTACTGGGTGGGTGCAGGGCACTGGAAACCTCGGTGCTTCTGATTTGCCCCCTTGCGGCTTACAGTCCATCTTAAGGGGAAAACCTAAAACAATCGCTATTATAATAAAAATAATCAGGATTTTATTAAGTGCAACTGAAAAGGTATAGAGGGGAGCTCTGCCCTGGCCTGAAGTTGGAGAGATTCCCAGGGTGAAAAGTCTGGCCTCTTTTGGTCAGAGGACACTTTTGGCCATAATCTCCAAGAAGTCAAGACAGAAGAGCGCAAGAAAGAAGAAAATTATTTCTCCCGAATAGAACTTCACCTAGATGACTGCGGGAAAGAAAAAGTGGATGTGAGAGAGAAGCCAGAAGCTAGTTTATGTGAACTGGCTTGGAGCGGGGGAGACACCCTCAGACGGTGCCTGCGGAGTTGAACGCAGTGGGAATGAAGGGGTTAAAGAGGGCGGTCCGGAGCGGCCCGGTAGTCCCGCCCATCCGCAACGAGGGCGGGGCTGCGCCGAGTGCGCGCTGGGATTGGCCGTGGGGAGGGCGTTCCGCCGGGACCGTACCAACAGCCAAGCGGCGCGGAGGCGGGGGTGGGTGTGGAGCGGCCGGCTCCGTGGGGAGCGGCGGCCGGGGAATGGCCGGGCCGGCAGTGGGCGGGAGCCGCAGTGGCGGCGGTGGAGGCTGGGGGCGGTGAGAGCGGCTTGGGGCTGCCCCTCCCCGGAGGCGGCGGGGGCGGCCGGGGCCGCGCCGCACCGCACCGCGCGGGCGGCTATGGAGCGAGCCTGAGGCCCGCCAGGTGAGCGGCGCGGCGGGAGAGGGCGCGCGACCCCCGCCCGGGTGCGGCGGGAGCGAGGGCGGGAAAGCGCGGGAGGCGGGGGGCGGGGCACCTCCCTCTGGGGCCGGATGCGGGGCTCCCGGCTTCCCCGCGAGGCTGCGGCCGGCTCGTCTGGTGGAGCCGGCCCTGCCGAGGCGCGGACGGTCGGGAGCCCTTGCGGTGACCGGTGCTCGCTGCTGAGCACTGTCCCCAGAGGCTCCGGGCCCCGGCGGCGCCGTCCTCTCACGCTAAGCTGGCGTCGGTGGCCCAGGGAGCAGCGCGCTCTCGTTGAGACCCTACCGGGCCCGCACGGTGGCCGAGCAGCGCGGGTGGCCTGCAGGCCCTGGGCCGGAGAGGGCAGCGGTGCCCTGGGGTCGTGCGCGCAGAGCGCGGTGGGCCACAACTTGAGCCGACACTGTAGTCCGGAGTGGGCTGCGCTGGCGGTTTCATTTCCGGGTGTGATGGCCCGGCGATTAAGAGCGGACAGAGACGTTGCCTTAATGATGAATGTGAACGTTGTCAAGCCGTGTCCTTGATTGTGGAGTGTGATAAGACCTTCTTTCTTAATCGGGTGTCAGTTTTCTATCAGGCCCCCGATATAAAGGAGAAAAGGGGAAACAAGTCGTGGATGGTCCTTATACAATTACTTCGTTTAAAGACTGTCTCCAGTAGGATGGGTAAGGAGTTTACCATTTGGGAAAAAGAAATGTTTAACATTGTCACTTGGGTCTTGCACCAGGTGTCAGGGTCATCTACTCAGCCAGTTTCCCTCTGGAGGTTTATGGCTCACGTTGGAAGAGAAAAAAGAATGTGATCTTTCCACATTTGAAGGTCTAGACTTTGTAATACAATCAGTAATCGGGTAAAGTCATGATTGTCATTTATTAACCATGCCTATATTACTCGGGTTGTAAATTTCATGCATGAATTTCACTGGGCTAGTGATTTTTGTTGTCCTCCTCCTTCCTTGAATTTATGCAAGACCTTTGAGCTAAGCTGAGACCGCTTCTGCTTGTCATTTATTGTTCTGAGAAACAGGTTCAGGTATTAAGTTGCTAAGTTATTTGTGCAGGCTCTGAACCAAATTAAGGTAAACTTAAGATTATTGTAAGTTAATAGCTTTCTTGAAGTTTGTGAAGATGTTGAACTTTGTGTCCTAGAACCAACAGTTACCACCAACAAGATACCTATCAAAGGAGAACAAGGTGTCCCCTAAATCCCAGGCCTTGGCAGGCAGAGGCAGGCAGATCTCTGTGAGTTCGAGGCCAGCCTAGTCTACAGAGCAAGTTCCAGGACAGCCAGGACTGCTACATAGAGAAATCCTGTCTCCAGAGGAAAGTCTGGCTGGGAGTTGGTTGAAACTCACGAAGCACTCAGGAGGCAGAAGCAGGTGGATCTCTGATTTGAGGTCAGCCTAGTCTACTACAGAGCTAGCTCTATGACAGCCAGGGCTACACAAAAACATAAATAAATAAATAAATAAATAAAAGGAAGAACAAACAAATCTGGGACTCATAGCTTTCCTTGTGAAAAAGGGGTTCATTTGTTTCTTTAGAGCTTGTGCCTTTGTTGTATATTTTGAGCAAAAGTATACTTTGGAAAAAACAAGTCACTGGCTTTTGTTTTATGTCATATAATAATTTTATACTGTTAATGATTATTTACTTTTAGTTACTGCTCTTTTTTGTTGTTGTTGTTGCTGTTTTGTTTTTGTTTTTTGAGACAGGGTTTCTCTTTGTAGCTTTGTACCTGAGGCTGGCCTCAAGAACTCACAGAGATTTGCCTGCCTCTGCCTCTCTAGTGCTGGGATTAAAGGTTTGCTCCGCCATGCCTGGCATAGTCATAGCTCTTGATTTCCATTTCAGCTTTTTCATATAGCCTTAAAGCTTCTATTATTATTTTTTTTTTAAATCTTTTCTGAGTTTTCAGTCCCTAAATGAAATTTTCTGTTTACTTTTAGGTCATGAATTAGCTCCCTTTGAGTACCATTTCAGTGCAGTAAATGTAAAGCCAGAAAGTTCAACCTAAAGGTTGTAACTATTTACACTTTAACCCTTGGTGAGTGCTAAGATCTCATACTGGAGTGCTCACACTTACAGTAGGAGATACGGATGTCAGGTTGGTCTGTAATTGAATATGGAGTGATTTTGTGGATTAAGGTAGGGAGCATAGTTAGGGTGTATAATAGATATACATCAACTATTTGTTGGTTGAATTAGTTAATGGAAATTAGTGAGGAAAACATAGATATTTGGATGCAAATACTAGATTTGTTTAGCTTCAATCAAAAGGAATGACTTTAAAAACACCAATGCTGTGTGTTTCCGAGTTCTGTCAGGTCTGTGCTATTAAGGCAGATATCTGCAAAGAGTACTGTTTATTGTTGCTGTCTTGTGATTCAGTCCTGTGATTATATGGTGTTCCAGCCACCTGCAGCCTGTCCAAGCTCTGGTCATAGGGAGCTGCATCCACCTTCTCCTGCAGCCTATACTGGCTGAGAAGTTAGATGTGTAGCCAGTGTTTTTACCTTAATAAAAAGAACTTGGGATTCTTGATAAAACCATACTAGCAGCATCAGTGCTGACCATCCTCATGCCCCTAATATTGGAGATGGGAAAGGAAGGCTCTTTTTTCCCTTAAGTACTTCTCAATCATCTGCACATCTCTCCCTTTTTCCTTCTTTGAGCCTGTGTGTGACTAATGAGTTCAATAACGTGGGCCTGGGGTACGGAACAGAAGCCCTTACTTTGCTACTGAAATTCTTTTCTGACTAACTTACAATGTCAACATGATGGGGAGAGCTGCCTACTAGAGATCCTCTGCCTCGTGGGCTTGATTACAGAAATTAATAAACTATTCTCTAAATAATGAAAAGATCTTCTGATGTGATTTTTTTTCTTGCCAAAAACCAAAAGAAATGCCTGTCTCTAGACCTAAAGAATCTTGGGGATGCAGAGCTGAGTGTCAGGTGTGATACAGAATGAGACAGTGTGCTTTGGTATGCTTGAGGTCAGTATTTTGTGGGAAGGTAGTGGCTACTTTAGAGGAGACTTATAAAAGGAGGCCCAGGGGTGTGAAATTATGAAGGAAGGAGCTAAAAGCAGAATAAGGAAGTCTATTAGTCCATATTCTCAAATGTTGACTTTTCTGCTGTGTGAATACCTTTTCCTCATAATGCCAGGAAATAATGCATTAAGTGCCAATTCTTATTTTAGGTATCCTTTTGTGAGAAAAGTCTTTTAACAATTTATGTTGTGTACTTGGTTTCTTTTTAAACAGTGTAGTCTAATCCTTGTCTCAATATTTAGGATTGCTAACATCAATTACTGACAGTAATTGAACAAGGATTTGAGATGATTGTGAAATGTAGGCTGTTTACTTACTGGGTCTACCTTTAACAGTCTGCCTGTCTTGTGTCCTGGGTAGGAAAGCTGTGCAGCTTCTGGCCTTCTGTGGAGCAGAACCTAGAGCCTCTCTGCTTCCTGAGATCACATTAAGATAGTTAAATAATAGGCTCTGTAGACTCTTGGAGCATTAGTGACTGAACTCTGTAACCACTGTGGGGTTCCCCAAAGAACTTATTAATTCCTCTCTTATTTTTTTTTCCCCTGGCTTGCATCCAGTATATACGTATTTTATGTTGTGTGTTCTTCCTGGATACAAAATAGGATGGGAGCGAATACTGGATGAATAAAGTTCTTGCCATGCAAACATGAGGACTTGAGTTCAGATCTGAATAAAAACTGAGAGCACATGGCAGTTTTTAATCCCAGCACTCAAGAAGCTGAGATAGGAACCCCTGGGTAAACTGACTAATTAGACTAGCTCAATCAGTGAGCTCCAGGTTTATCGAGGAAGGGATTCCTCCTCAGTAAATAAAATGGAGAAGGGTTGAGGATGACACCCAGCATAAACCTCTGGCCTTCACTCATGTGTAAGCACACATACACATATGAATACCACACACACACATACATTAAAAACAAAATAACATGGAAGTCCTAATGTTGGATCTTGTTCCAGAAAACCATTGTCACCAGGAGATGGTGGTGCACACTTTTAATCCCAACACTCTGGGAAGCAGAGGCAGGCAGATCTCTGAGTTCAAGGTCTACAGAGCGAGTTCCAGGGCAGCCAGAGCTGCCTTGAAAAAAGCAAACAAAAGAAAAGAAAACCATCTTTATCATTCATATATCACTCTTGGGCAATGTCTTCTTGGCCTTTCTCCATTCTTTCTCCTAACATCTCCAGATTGTCCTTACTCCCAATTCCAATCAACATCAGGAACCGGGTTAGCAATCACAGTAGTGTAGAATGGCCTAACACAGCCTTTAGTGGTGGTATGGACTGATCATTGAGAATTGAAACACCTAGAATGTAGGAAGCTGTGTTACACATCATACCTTTAAAGCACTACCCACTGAGTGTCTGGGTCACTGAATACTGCTGCTCTCTGTTTTCTGCACCAGGTCTTGCTAAAGATATAATTCATTCTCAGAAGGTTAGAAAGTTTTCCTGAATTAAGGTTTAAATGGGATGGGTTGCACATTTTTCAAATTTATTTTTTTAAGGGAGAGTAGTTTTTTGTTGTCCTTTTCATTTTAGTCTCACACCTGGGGGCAGGTTCCCTAATGCTTGTTAAAGCCTGGTGGTCATTTTTAGTTGATGTACTTCACAAGGAACTATTAAATTTCACGTGGAAGAGTTATTTTTCAGATATTGTATGGATATTTAAGTGGAAATGAAAATGTTAAGGAAAATCTCACAGTTCAATTTGGACTGTGTAGGAATTGGATTTTATTTTAATACCTGTGCTTTAAGTTGCTCTCAAAACTTAAGTTTTAAGAGCTTTAAGCCTTAAATAGTTTTAAAGACAATGTCATCATCTTTAAACACAGAGCGAATTTTCTGAATGAAAGGCATGCTGTATTTCTGATTTTTGTGTGAAATAGAATTTAGGGCATGCTTCCCATCTGTTTTAG